TTCTTTAAAGAAAAACAAATTCAAAAGAACTATGATGCACAATTTCAAAGATGCTACAGGCTTCAGTGTATCAGAATCCTTTCTACCTTTGAAAACATGATGCCAGAAAGATACTTCAAGAGCATCTGCAGTTCAAATGGTGTCCATCAACTAGTAATGACATAGACTGCACAACTTAATGGTACAGCTGATATGCATGTCTGAGATGTCTGAAGCTGCTCTGTGAAATGGAAATTTTCAGGTAAAAAATGGTCTTTGCAGAGGTTTACGTGGATAGTTATCTGCTGTTTTTAAAAAACCAAACCATATATATGTAATATGCTGGGGAAGGCTGTACAAATGCTCCTGCACAAAGCACAACCGAATGCAAGGCCACTGGATATTGGCAGTGTGCTGCCAGAACAGAGGACACCCTGCTATATGCATCAGGAGAGCAGATTCCCTACAAGTAAAATGAGCATCCCAAAGTATCTCATAACTCAGACCTACCATCCACAATATATAATGGGGACTGCAAAGGCCTTAAAATGCCTAGGCAGATACAACAACTCCTCTTCCAAGAAATATTGTAATAGTGAAATAAACTCATAAAAGTTTGTTTTGGCTCAAGAACATCATCCTTGTTTGTGTCTCAATCTGTGACAGCTAAGCTTTAGTCTTGACTTCAGTCAGAAGCTGCAAACAGGAATTCAGTAACTGGAAATAAAAAAGGAGATGTGTGGCTCTACTGTTGCATTTTTTCCCTATTACTGAAGAAACATGTATTGAGAGAGAGAATTAAAGCCACATCACTACCACTTTCATTTACTCTTTTAATTAGCTTCTGATGTCCTTTGCAATACAATGAACTTTTCATTTTTGAAAGGTTCCAGGTTACACCTGTAATTCATGTACATGTCTAAACTGTCACTGGCACAATAATGTATGTAAAGTTACAGTTCAAACCTAGAATAGATTCACAGATTCTTAGAGTCTCTCATTATCTTTGCCTGCTTCCTGTTTAATGCAAGCCTAACAGTCTCATCCAGCAACTTCTACATTAAGCCTCATCTTCAGAGTTGTAAAATGACTTTTGATAGCAAAGGAATGAATTGAAATTCAGAATATAAAACTTCCAGATTCAGAATGCCTCATATTCTTAGCAATTATTACACTCAGTCCTTTTCTTACCTTTCTCCAGAGCCCTGAAGCACATTCTAGACACTATTCTACTTAGAAGGGATAATGAAAAAGAACTCTGATTAAAGGTGTTTACAGTTCACTTGTGCCTCCCCAAGAAGAAAAGTGTGTCTAATAGCCAATCATTGGGCAATTTAAGAGATGTGAACTAACAGGAATACTATACATTTCACAACTTTACAACTAGGTGATTTCTTTGACAATTTCTGCTGAAAATTCAATTGGCATCAGAAGAAAGCCACATGCACTTTTTTTTAACTTATAACACAGATTTCCCAAATGGGATTAGAGCTCCATTATTCTAAGAATTGTGCAATCACAAATATCTTCTTGTTCAAAGGACTTTATGATTAAGATAAAATGACATGACTGAGTAAAAGATTTAACTGCAAAGTCTCAAGAGAGAACAAAGGAAACCATACACTAATTGAAGGTGTATTATTCATTCAAGGATGTAAAAAAAAATACAAAGAGTTCATAATTATCCAAAAGTTAAATATTTCAAACTAACAGTTCGGAAGAAAGTTTATACTGAAATCTAAGAAAATATTTCCATGTAAACCCAGCACACTTAACATTTGTCTAGGCATATCATACAGGAAAACACCTGACTAACTTGTAAAATTAATTTGTTTAAGCTAGGACTAAACTGAAAGCTCCCAGCAATGGTTATTTGGTGCCATCCTCTACAGGCAGGAATAAATTGAATAAGTATACCAGAAGAAATGAATAAAAAAAGAGTATCTGACAAGATAGACCTCAATACATGTATGGCTCCATCCCCTGGGGCAGGAGAAATCTGAATTATACAAAATACATTCATTAACTGAAGGAAAAAAAAGTAATATAATTTCCACAGAGACCAAAATAGCTTCATTTAAATGTAGGCACTATCATTGACCTTCCTGTGTTTAGAGTCTACAAATCATGTTAATGAAATACAATAAAAGAGTGAATTCAAACCTAAATTCTTTAAACATGCTCTATGTATGGGCTTTGCAGTGTCCATTTCACAGTGTGTAAAAAGGGGTTAACATGTTAAAAAGAATCTGTGTACACAAATACATGTCCCAGGCACTCAGCTAATGTGCTGAGCACCCTGAGAAAACACCACTAAGACAGAATTTGTGCTGAGTCTCCTGGAAGGGTTTGGCTAGCATGGATTTAAAGCAGCAGCCATACACTCCTTAATGTAAGAAATGCAGAACAAAACTGAGCAACTACTGCACTTTCACCCCATTTTTAACCCTAAGGAAAAAATAGTGTAATATTACTCAGAGTTCACATCATATTACCTTACATAATGATACATTCAATAATAGTGATTCAAATAAAATGCTGATGTTTAACATATACCATCAATTCATCAGCAAGATGGCAATGTCAAAGTCACACCTAACACCTGATGCAACTTGATAGGGATTTTCACTTGTTTGTTTTGTGCAGAATACAGAGAGAAAAAGAAACAGGACCTGAGACACAAAGCATTTCTCATGGCTTCTCTGCCACACCACCACTAGAGATTCTGAAAACTGCATTTATTTAGCAATTCTGCTGATGACATGAGAGTAACATGCACTCCTCCTGCCATCACTGCAGAGCCAACATAACTAGCAGCTTAGTAAAAGGTTTATTTTGCCACAAAAATATGTGAGTAGGGCTTTCAATGAGACAAATACCCCAACCCTCCCCCACTGACAAACCTGCCAGGTGGAAAGGTGACTGCCTTACCCAATCATTTTTCCCAGTACCACTACATTTTAGCATTCTAGCTGCAATTACAATCTCTCCTGGGGGTCAATTTAAGAAAACGTTGCCAGTTGTTCAAATCTCCCTCCTATGCACATCTATAATTACGTGTGAGCATTTCCTTATGTGGAATTCGTAACATCCAAGAGTGAACATACATGTCAAGGTGAGGGGATGGAAGGGAAGGCCAGAGAGGAACAGGGTTTTTGCTTAGTGTTGGAGCAAGTAGCTACACAGCCTAAAGAAAGTGACACAAAACAATGGTTAGCTGGAATTATTGTCCCTTTGACTGATATTCCTTGAGGGCACTGATGTCAGAGGCCATTCAAACAAAAGACCAGTTAAGCCACAACACTTCACCAGCTGCACTTCAGAGGAGAACATCCCAAACTGACAAGACTACTGTATGCAATACTGCCAACACTCTCTGGTTTGAGGTACCTGGTATCTAACTGGCTTACAGCTAGATCCCTATACTCAAAAGCTGTGGCTTATCTATTTTTTGAGTATCTCCCACCTACAGAGGGTTGCCCTTGTCTTTTCTTTTTGCATTCTGTGCAGCTCTGCTTTACCCTCCTATGGTTCTCTATGAAGTTGGACTTGGTTACAAGAAGATGAAATGAATAGTATTGAGGGAGGAGAGGTAAGTCCCTGGTCCCTGTGTTTTCTGACACCAGTAAGGTACCACTGCCAATGAAGACAAAATACACTTTTCCAAGTGTACGGTTTGAAGGATTCCCAACTCTTTTGTTAGCACATGGCTGGTTTGCAGAGGTCATCTTTTTCCATTATCATCCACATTAAATTCCTGAGGCTGTTACAACAATTGCTAACACAGAAATCCTGCTAGGGGAGTATTTAACAGATACTACCTATTAGGACAATTTAGCTATGGGAACTGAGGAAGAACACACCATGTGAAAAACCCTTCAGAGAGAAACAGTGGTAAGCAGTCCATAGCTGCCAACTACATGGGGTATTACTGACCTCAAAAATCTGTACTCGGTTGTACTCAGAAACTTGACATTTGAAGTGACAAAATAAATCAAAAGATGAAACTAACAAAGACTTTTCATCTATTTACAAATGTTTCTATTGGTTTCTAACACCAAATAAAGGACTAGCTGACTCAAACAAACTAAAAACCCCAAGAAAATAAACAAAGAACCCCAAACCCAAACCAGAAAAAAACTGGTTTATATAGTTATAAGTTTATATCCACTGACTCTTGCACTTGAACCCATTTTTAGCTCCCTCAGTGGAGTCTTCTGAGGAGTCTACAATGAAGGTGTGTTTGTCTTGAACAAGGAACTCTGATTTGCACCTTTCTCTATTTCTCTTTGCAGATACACTATCCACATCATAGGAACAAACTACAGTGCACTCAGCTGATGACACTCCTTATCAGCTTTCCCACTTGCCTGTTTCCTTTACACCTTCACATTCACCTCCTCGTTTCTTTATGTGACAAAGATGAGCAAAGGGAATGATTTTGAGGACACCTCCACTTGCTATCAATTTGAAAGAATGAAATCTATTCCCTTTGCCTTTGAGTATGAAAATATATGTTGACTTGGAATATATAAGGACAAAAAAACCACCAAAGTGCCTGCTAACCTCTAAAAGGTTAACTTTGATGTTCATTAGATGTATTGATACATTTTCTGTTAGTCCTAGGTTAGAGTTGGTTTGTAGTTTTGGTTTTTTCCCCAGTCCCCAAACAAGTTTACCAAAGAGCTCAAGAAAAAAGGCACATAAAATTCAGAAAAACACATTTATGAAGAATCAGTTTTGCTTATCAAAGACTTATTTTCAATTGAAATAAAAAGCATCCCATCTGAACAAAATATAAATACATTTCTGAACAGTATAGCTATAAAAAGTATATCTATATAAAAGTGTATCTATAAAAAGAAGTAAGACTAACATAAGGCTCCTTTTCCCCCCTCATTTCAAAGAGGGATTAATCAAATGTCTTGACCAAAACTTAACCTTTTCCGCTTATTATTCCAGTCTGCCACATCTACAGGAAATAGATCACCAAAACAGATGGAGTGAATAGATATTTTTACCTCCCAGTGGCTGAACACCAGCTGTGGACTGGCCAGGCCACTAGTTCTTTTCCTGATTTCATCAGCAAAACCAAAGCTTTCTGCTACTGGCAGGACTGCCTTAATAATAAACACATCCGTCCCCTCTTTCATCTCCTCGTGTAACACTCTGCCTTCTCTCTTGGACAGGACAGCATACACACGACCTGCAAAGACACAATTTTCATGAGCTTACCAACACATTCATATTCTGCATCATGAAGAGAAACACAGAAATATTTGTTCAGGAAGCTTCAGCATTAGGTAAAACGTGTAACTTCTTCAGTTAAAATTCTTCCTTGTAAGTGGATCAATTAAGTGGATCCATTAAGTTCAAACAACATATTCTGACAGTACAATGTGCAGAAACATGTAAGTAACATTTAATATATTATTGCTACTGTATAAATCCATACAGGTTCATTTTATACAATCTCATGGCTGTTTTAAAAGGCACTTGTACAGATTATGTGCCTAACTTGCTTTATTTCTTACAACCTCATAGCAACTTTTCAATATCTGAAAGGCCTACAAGGAGCCAGAGAGGGACTTTGTGTTAGGAACTGCAATGACAGGACAGGGGGGAATGGGTTCAAACTCAAGGAGGGAATGTCTGTCTAGGTTGGATGTGAGAAAAAAGTTTTTTCCTGTGAGGGTGGTGAGACACTGGCACAGGGTGCCCAGGGAGGCTGTGGCTGCCCTGACCCTGGCAGTGTTCAAGGCCAGGCTGGATAAAGCCTTGACCAACCTGCTCTAGTGAGGAGGTGTCCCTGCCCAGGGCAGGGGGGGTTGGGACTACATGATCTGTAAGGTTCATTCCAACCCCTAAATTCTAGGATTCTATGATTTGAGGACCATTGCTAAGAAACATCAGGAATTGCATCTTAGGTACCTTTAGAAATTTCTTTGGATCACCATAATCCTACAAGGTACTTGTCCCAGATAGTGCAGTGCTATTCTATTTGCAGAAAACTAGTTTATCTGAAATACTACATATTTATTATGTTTCATGTGTTCAATTAGCTTGTTAATTAATTCAGTCTGAAATTAGTCATGGATAATTAAAATTTTCTTTCCCAAATTAATATTAAACCCATTGAAATATAGTGTATATGTCATGGAAGTAGCTGTGAAAAGGTCCATATTTGACTCTACAGTAGGCACTGAGTTAGGTTTTTAAAACATTTTTCATAACTTCTGAGTTGAGTATTCTACAGACAAAAACTAACAAATATGTTTGTGTCAATTGAGATAATAAACACAGAAGAAAAACCTTTGGACTGAAAAAATGGTTTAGGAATTCCCACGTTTACAAATGTGAATAGTTAATAAGTATTAGAAGTACAAATTAACTTTAAGAGGACCTTGCTATGAAGAACAAGTTAATATCAATTGCAAAGAGGTTCACATATATTGTGTTGCACTCAGAAAATATGAGTACACACTGCTACCTTTTGAACAGCAGGGCAAAACTGACTCCTACAGCAAATAATAACAAATATACATTACTTTCTAGTACCTGCCACTTACTCTGACTTGACAGAAAGACATCATTAAATACTATAGCCACATACACTGATTTGCATATATTTGTGGGACAGCAGAAGAAATGTTGGAGTGGGTTTATTTGCCTTTATTTTTAAAATACAGAATCTGGTCCTTCAGGAAATTCAGCAGCACAAGCACACAGCTAGTACCATTAAATCTTCCCATCAGATACAAGGAATGAAGCATCAATTCACCAGCAAACATTTCAGAGTTTATAGTTCTCTAATGAAATGTGGGTGGAAGTGTTCTTTCTATTATCACTGGTAATTTTATCTGCTCCTGCCCTTACCAAGACCTCCTCACTGTTCCTCTGACTGAACTTCAACTTCACTATGCACAATAGTCTTCGTATTGCTCATGAGGAAATTGAGGAAATACTTAAGATTCTATATTTAAAATCACAAAAAGATTAAGGCATTCTGAAGATAAGGCACTGAGCTTGCCAGGCATGTACAGCCTTTGTTAACATAATTAAGCAATTTTAAGTCAATGGAAATTTCAGAGAGTCCAGAAAATTCTCACCTATGAAAGGGTCATGTCTCAGCACAGCTCATAGTTCAGTAACTGCTTTAAAATTCAAGTTTAAACATTGCAAAAGAGTGTCCCACCATGCTCACTGTACATACACTGTGTACCTAACACACAGTATATATTAAAGCAATTTGTTAAAGCAATTAAGTTAAAAAACAGTTTATAGGTTATCAACGTTATAATTCCAAATATTTATTTTAGCAATTGTTTTCAGTAGGATGTAGGAAACTTTACATACATATTAATGAGGTAAGTAAGGTAACATTTACCACAAAGCACTTTACATGCACATATTCTGGCCATAACTCACTGAAGCTTATTCTTTGATGCCAGAAGACAATTTATGACTTTCTAAATGGTTTTTAGCTACATGTATTTCATCCCAGCAGTTTGGAGCATTAGCTAAATTAATGCTGTCAAAAAGAACCTATATAAGGTCTTCAGTTTTACCACTATGGGTAGACTGCAGTACACTGAAAAAATACTGCTCTACCTCTAATGAGCTGAATGGATTTAGCAGCATCAATCACCAAGAAATACTGCAAGATCTTCCTATTCAAAACAGCTAATAGTTATTTCGAAACCACAACAGCACTTCAAAAACAGCTTCATGGTGCTGCAACATACAGAGGAAGTTTGTGCATAATACACTCACTTCAAATGTGTATTAAGTCCAGCTCCTTAAAATACCTAACTTCTGTTCACTGCTTTACTGAAGGATACTTCAGAGCACTGACTGAAGAAATTCTGTATTCCCTGGATATGAAAAATAAGAAGCTTCATACTGAAAGAAATACTAAGGAAGGGCAACTAGATCACCATTTGCAAGAGTCTAAGAGTCACCACAAACTTTGCAAACAGAGAAAAAGGAGTTGCTCTTCACTCACACAACAGAGAGATGATGATACTATGAATTGCTGTGATCTAAGATTTCAATAACTTAATTTAAAAGAAAGAAGAAAGAAGAATTAATATCAAAATCCAAAACCAAAATATGCAACAGAGTCTGGTAAAGTCCTGTCCCAACTAAGTTTCACTGACATCACCAAAATGAAAAGAAAATCTACCTTTCAGTTCTCCAAAACACAAAAGAAAAGTAAAAAGAGCTCAAAAAGTAGAAATATCAACAAGCAAAAGGCAATAATAATAATTAAACATGTAATACTAGTTCAGAACAATCTTTAGCTTATGAGACTTTACACAGAACTTCATAAAGCAGGAGTGTGTAAAAATGGATTTTTCTAGTGAACTAAGTGTAAGAATCAGATGCTCAAAGTACAACCTACTGGGAAACAGCAGGTGTATGCAGGACTCAAGGCTAAAACCAAGGCCTGTTAGATTGGACGTGTATAAGCTTGCAACACATCTCTGTGTTCCTCTCTCCTCACTCCTCTCCTCAGCTCCAGCTCAGTTTATTTTCCTTGTCAGAAAATCTGATGGGAAAAGCTGTATATACTGAGTACATAAAAGACCCCAGTTTCCCAGAAGCTAACATCTTCAAAACAAGCAGATCAATATGAAGACATATTAACTTTACTGGGTGTCAATGTATGGAATGCCAACAGAAAAATAGTCACAAAACCCAGTGGTTTGTCACATGTCAGCTGCCAAGCCTGACTGGAGAGCAGACATGCTTTTCACTTTTCCTAATGAGAATCCAATTTATTAGCTTAAATTTTCCTAATAAAAATTAAACCCATGAATTTGTAATGAACTAAGTGCATGTCCATGGCCATTACCACACAACTCACATTCATTAGACTGGACTAATTTGTTTTCATGTCTGGGTCGTAAATTACACTCATTAAATATATATATATGCATTAGCAAGCCATGTTTCCATTTGGTTTTATGGCAGAATTGATGAGGCAATGCATGTTAATTACCTCACTGTAAACAATCATGCTTTTTGGGTAAGTGGGTATTTTGGAAAACAGCAATTTATATAATGTTTTTGTGGTTTAAAATCTGGTATCTTGCTTATAGGTTGACATAGACATTCAGAGAGACTGTGCTAATGTGCTGCCAGAACAGTAACATGTAACACTACAAAGTCTAGTTTTGATGGGCATTCTTACACATGAGAAAACACAGCTTAAAATGCCCAAATTCTATGCCCTAGTAAGCTGTGTTTAAGGTGAGGTGCTAATAAGCTTAAATCAGGGCACCTTTTACCAGGCCTACTACATAGTAATGCCAGAAAAGAACAGGATTTTGCATCTGTGCAAAACAATTGTTCACTCCAAGGCATTTCTTTTCACTACATATGAGTGTAAACTTTGCTCTTTGGACTGCTGTCATCATGTTTGTATGCTCAACAGCTGAGATTTTTTACAAGTAGCCAAATATTTCATTATTGTATGTGGGATATACTGTAATTTCTGGCACGATTAGTACAGTCAAAGTAAATTTGCTACGAGCTCGAATGCAATCGAAGTGAGTTTAAAAGAAAATCTTGGTGCACTGGATCAGATTCAGTATGCAAGCAACTCCCATGGAAAACTCCAGGAACAAATGTTGGGATAAGTTAAGTGGTGGTGTAAGTAGGTCATAAAAACAAGTTTTAGTAGGTGTAAGTGGTAAGGTAATGTAAGTGACACAATTTGGTATGCACTGGGTTTGCAAAGTGAGCAACTTGAATACTAGAAGCATACAGATATTACTTGGAAAGCCCAAAATTACCAACTGGACTGTGACAATAACTTAATATTCCTTTTCCTGACCTGAGTTCTATATCGTTCATTATTTTAACTTAAACCATCTTGAAATGGAATTTACAGGTTTCCCATCTCTTCATGGAACTAATGCTCAATTATGAGGCACAATACACATGGCTACTGATGCTGATATTAGAGAAACTTCTTACAAAAGGCAACATTTTGTACCTCACACTTCCAAAAAGGTGTATTAAATAATAAATAAAGAGCATTGCTACTTACCCATATGTTTCAGGTAAGCAGGAAGAATGCCAAATTTCCATTGAGAATCGTATAAATACTACAAACATTAGAAAGTCATTGTAAAAATGGCTGGAGAACTATAAAAAACTTCTGATAAAACTCTTAATGAAGTTACACTTTCTAATTCAGTCTCATTCATGAAAGCTCAACTTGCAACTCAGAAAGTAAATTCCTGACTAGGATTTATTATTTCAGTCTTACCTAAAACTTCTGCAGTAGCCATGATTTCACACGTGTACATTGCTGCCATAAGCCTCTGTGGTTTTGCCTGCAGAGCATAACGACAAGCTTCCTTCATGGTGGCAATCAGCTGTCCAGAAAAGGGACCATAGCAATCTGCAAGTAAAACTTCTCCCTTGGGCTTACTAGTTTTCTCAGGAGATCCCATACCACTTTGGCTGCTGTCCTGGTGTTCATTTGCACTGTGAGCTTCACCAGTTGAACTGCTTGCTAGAGCATTATCTTCATTTTGTTGATCTTCTACGGCATCATGTTCCCCTGAATCCTGACTTCTAGTTGACAGCACATCTCCAACTTTATTTATTTCCCATTTTTCCACCGTAAAACAAACACCCATGAGGGGCTCTTCACACATGGGACCTGAAAGTGTAGCCAGCTGAAATCCACTTACTATGCTGTTGTCAAAGTCTCTGTATTTACTTACTTCTTTCACGGTGTTCCCAAGGCACTGCCACACAGACCTTTTATAGCCCTCAAAATTATATAACAAAATATTAGGCCCACACTTTCGTGGTCCAAATGACCAGATCTGATCAACAGCATTTCTCCACTTTCTTCCCTGCAGATTTTGCTCCAATTTTTGTTTGAATTCTCTAATTCTATCAAGAGTCTTCTGATTGATCTCATGGGTTTTTTTGTCTTCATTCAGAGACGTGTTGAGCTGTTCCATAGTTCGAATTAAGTCACTGTTTTCTTCAAGAAGTCGAGTTACCTCCTCAGGAAGTGGTGCTGCTCTTACACTGAGAGTAGCTTGTTTATTTGGAGTAGATATTGTAACAAGCCCATCTGAATCAACCTGAATTCCTTCGGGAATTTTAGTTTGGTCCTCTTTTGCTTGGTGTATGATAGCAACTTTCTGCTGTTTTCCTATTTCTTCATTCACCATATCAACTTTTGGAGGTCTTGTTATTGTCTCTCGGAACGGTATAATAGGGGCTGAAACACTAATCTGTACCTTTGCAAACCTGTAAAATGAAGTTTAAAATGTAGTTTAAGATTTTGAAAATACTTTTAAATTTGGGGGTGGGAGGTAGGGCAATGGCCTTAACATGGAACAGATGTTCATGAATCAATCTGATTGCAACACCGATTACTAGGTAATGCTTTTCAAGCTCAAATTTTATGTACTTCAAAAAAGAAGCATTGCCTCCTTCTTCAGAAATATCTGGAATGGAGCTGAAGAGAGGCAAAAGCATTGCTATGCCTCTGCATAAATCACTGGTTCACCCACATCTTGGAAACTATGTGCTGCTGTTCTCTGGCCTCAAACAAAATACAACAGAACTAGGAAAAAATGTGGAATATAGACAATCAGAGGAAGAGAAGCACAAGCAGCCTTCGGATTATTTCCAAGGTACAACAGAGGTCTAAAAAATCACGAGGGACATGGGGAAGGCTGATCAGAATTAACTGACAAGCAAACCACAAAAGGCCCTGAACTGAAAACAACAGAGGCCTTGGGAAAGCATCGTGGTCACTCTTGTTTTACTCTTCCCAGACACCTGCTCTAGGCCACACTGCTCCAGATACACTGCTGAGCAAGACGGACCCTTGATTTGAACCAGTACATATGCTCATACAGTGAGGTGACCTGAAAAGATGAAGCACTGGATACACTGAACAGAGTTCAGATAACCTAGATCTGTTAACCCAGTACAAGTACTCCCTCTTCAGCTAGGAGCACTTGGCATTTTCCCCATACTTCTGGCACAGCACATTCAAATCTCTGCACAACACTGTGCTGCCAATGACTGCTTAACACTGGAATGCCTTTTCTAGCTGTATAACCTATAAAAATTATATTCTACTAATTACTGCTACAATTACAATCTGTGCTATAGCACCAGAGCAATGGGCAATGGGGTTTGGGTTATCATTTGGATATGAAGGTATAAAAATTATGTTTGATACTGTCAGTTGAATTAGGCTCAGTTTTTAAAACACATGGAGAAAACAAGCTTGTAATTGGAATGATCTGTTTCTAAGGCCCAGATGTTATTTACCTTTACTTATACAACATTCCTGTTAATGAATGTTTATATAGAACTATTTTATTATACAAATAGAAAGTTTTTGGATAAGGATAAGTCACTGATTCCTGTAAAGGAGGTGCAGTTAGATGTTCATGCTGCTATAGTTTACATTCACAACCAAAATTAATGAGAATCATGTTCCAATATGAACTTGGATGACTTAAAGGATTAATTACTTACATGACTTACAGGACATCCGTGAGGCTAATACAATGCATTCAGGAACACTCTTACTTCAGCTCTATCTCATTCTAAAGCTGAAATATTTTGACATAATCGGTTTTGGAATAGCCACTACCCTGCATCAAGCCTCAGCTTTAGTTAGTAGTCCCTACAGGTGAAAGCCAGTAACTGAACAGCTGCCTGCAGTAAAACAACTACAGCTACTGAAATCATAAGTAGTGATATCCAAGAAAACACAGCCCAAAGTAACTTAGTAGTTTTCATCTATATAATCTGAGCCTTGAGAAACAACAGAAGACTGTCTTTATCCTGTTGACTAAATGGACCTAGGAGCTCTAAAGCAACTTGAAATGCCTCAAAAGTCTGGGAACAGTGATGATTAGCATTCTGTCTGTTCCTCTGTGAAGGGTAATGTTGGTGTTTACAATCCCTCTTTTATTAAACCTTGTGCTAAGCTCTCATATGAGGTACAACTCATTGCATCAAAAATTGCTCTAAATCAGATTATTGTAGAAGTTATTAGCCTAAACTGCAAGAACAGTGCAGCCTGAAAGAAAAAAAACACCTCAAGCAAGGATTGTGTCTGGAGTTTTCTGGCAACTCAGCCAAGGGTTATTGCACAGAAAATGGAAGTGAAGCACTGCTTTACTTGAGTAAACAAGTAAGTTAACAGAAATACTTTTGTCCTTTTGGTCTGATATTCAGGATGATAAAAGTTTCATGATACAAAGTGATGCTTTAAATTCAGGTGAAACACATTAGGCATGTCAAATGTTGTGAGTGACAGCAAGAAAAAAGGAAGATTTATTACATTTAGTTGACATGCTCAGAGTTGTGTATCCTTCTGAACCACTCACAAGCTCTGAGCAGGTTCATTCAATGACAACACAAAAGGACTAACCAAAATTTCCAATGTTCCTGTAAATTTTGGCAGAGTGCTAAAAACAGTTGCAGAGGAAAAGCAAATACAGTTCTAAGTTTTATTTCCATGGGAATCAAAAGCAGGAGATCTAACCTTTTAGCAGTTTTTCCAAGCACTTGCATTATACAAAAAACTCCAAATACAACTACTACCTTAATTCTCTTGGTCTCCCATTCTCAACTGGGTAATTTAATCCCCTTATTTGCAGTGCTCTTTGGATAGAAAATTCTTAACATTTCTATTGTAAAATGCAGAAAGTAAAATGCTCAAAGTTTCAAGGTCTAATTTCTTACTATATTCAAAAAGAGCTCATCAGGAAGAACAAAACAAATTTAGCAAAATTAAGGAGAAGGTCCATATTTAATTATTTAGAGAAACAGAGATGACTGATCTTTTAGTTGCTTCCATGTCTCTTCACATCTTTGACAATAAGTATCACTTGAACATATTTTCTAAATCCACATTGGGAAAGCTAAAATTAAGTATGTGCCTTTGAAAAAGTTTGATTAAAATCTTGACAAAGACAATGCAGTGTAGTTTGAATTCAGCAGAACCACCTCAGTTGCTGTAACTAGTCCAAAAATGTCAACTCTGCAAAACCCAATTGCTGCAATGCTGGTAGATGCTAACATCCAAATCCTGCCCCACTGCTTCAAGTGCAACTTAGACATTTAGAATAACTTTTCCCAATATTTTTGGGGAAAAACCTGTGGGCCATATTTTAAGGTTATTACATACTGTCTTGATCCCTAGTTCACAATTTGCTATTCCAAGCTAGGTGCACTTAGAAGTGAAACACTTGTACAGAAACACAGAGAGCTAACATAACTAACATTTCAGAGCACAACCTTTCCTCTTCACACTTGAATAGTTAACTAGTGCAAGTTTACCAGTGTCAGAATTTACATGGAATCCACAATGAATGGAGAAAGACAAGGACCCCATTCTGGACTTCTCCTTTGACAAAATGGGGAAAGAAGGAAGGGATAATTCTTGTCCCCCAAGCTACTGTGTGAGGGATGGCAGCTAAGGTATGCCAAGTCCTCAGAGAGCACTAGAAGGAGCATGAGCTAGTAAACACATTTGCTCCCAATTCCTTTTGAGAGATGGTACCCAGGTGAGGAAAAAAAGGCATAATGAACCACATGTCAAGCAGGACAATGGTGGGAGCCCTGCTAGTCTGTGTCTTTGTTGCTTGTTTCTGCTTACAATGCTACAAGCATAGAGTGTTTCTGTGCTTTGGCAGTTTGGAACACTGCCAACCTTTTCTTGAGGAATAGAAGTAAAGGACACGAAATGGTCACTTTTGACAGTTTATAGTTCTCTTAACAAAAGCCAAATTAGATGACAATTCATAAAAGACACAGAATTATGTACACAAAACTAAAGGTTATGAGTGTAAATAGAGGGACTGTGACTAGTTGCTCACTATAATCCTATTTCCCTGTCATGTAGCTATTACTTAATGATTTTTTTCAAGATTTGGGCAATGCTAATAATAAAGACATTTATACAATCTTGATATGCAAACTGCAGCTAAAGACCAGTTTTACTTTAACATTTTATGTTTGAGCAAGGTGTATCAATATATGCTTTTAAAAGTGGTAAAAATGAGTTGCACTAAGTTGTCATGAGGATAACCACTAAGACATACATCCAGTTTTATAACAGATCCAGTCTGAAACAGTTGTTTCAGTCAACTGTACTTCTACCATTTGAAGAAACATTAAAAGATGTATGCATGCATGCTTGCAAAAATACTGCCCATGAATGAGAACAGATTAATATTTGAAATAAATAAGCAATGAGAAGAGCAAAGGAACAGGACAGAACATGCACATACAATTTTGGTCTTAGTGCTTTCTAATTTTTCAGAGTTCATTTATCAAACATGACTCACCTCAGTTTTCATTCTGTACAACTGCTACATTACATTTTAATTGGACCTCTGAACTTACTGCAATTTATGATCTCTAGAAAGTGCCCAAAAGGTGTATAAGATGTATAGAAATGATGAGCTAGTGGCTTCTGCCCAACTGCAGATAATTTTACAGCTACAAAAAGGTACACTTATGACCCAATGGTAAAAACTGTTGGTGGATAAAGCTCTGTGTTACCAGAATATAAATCAAAGATATCCATCTGACAGAGAAATACAACAGACACCTACTGAACTAAAAATATTTCTTCCTCCTTGCCCCTCTCACCTTTCTTTCAGGTCATCCAAGCAACGCTGAAGATGAACTTCTCCTGCTGTCACTAGCACATGTTCTCCTGTCTCCTGGATTAAAACTTGCACACATGGATCAGCTTGGTTTAAAAGCTTCATCCCTCTGACCAGCTGAGGCATATCACCTGGCAAAAAAAAAATGCCATGAATCAAGTAATACTGGAAAAGGAACACTTGAAATAGGATAGACTTAAACTGCAAAATAGTAACACTCATTTTTATGCAAGTCTAAACACAAACATGCATTTTAGGAATACTTAGAAAATTTCAGTGGGCAAATTTCTGCTTATGAGTCACAAAGAGTGGAATGGTTCAAGAGCAGCAACTGAAAACATAAGCTGTACTCAGAATTTGTCACCAACGATTTATGCACTGATGCTAAAAGTCACATCATACAACCATAAACTGTGTTTTCATGCAATGGATTGCACATTTTTTGTTTCTATATACAGTTAACTTCAGATACAGCTCATAAACAGATCACAACCAATAAAATGCCTGAATTTTATCGATATGAAGTGCTTAAAAAAACCTCAGGACTTCACTCCTCATTTTCACAAATTATCAAATTATAACCTTTCTTATTTATTACAACTGTTGAAAGTCATCTTTCAGTAAATAATTGTATTTCCTTGCAATCTTTCATGACTAAGTGTAGCAACCTCTAAATTGCTAATGCTTAAAATGCTCCAAATACATAAATAATAACATATTAACTTTACTAAAATAAAACTAAGAAGTATTCCATATGGATTACTTAGAAGGCATAAGAGCATGTGAAGCACAGGAAGGATTTTTAATTAGCTGTAAGCCAGTGAAAAGCTTTAAAGCAATTAAAACCTGAAAAGGGGAAAAATCAGGAATGTGAGAGCTTTTCAGTGAAACAAACCACAGCTGTCCCTAAAATGAAGGTGTTTAAAAAGAGTTGCCTTAAAGTTAATGGAGAATGAACAACCACAGCTGAGTCAAATTTGGCTAGATCACATCAAAGCTATGCATAAACACCTCATGTCACAGCCTTTCATAATGAACACAACTTTAAAAAATTAATTATGAATCCTTTTTTCATTTTACATATGTGGTAAAGAATACCCATAGGCTTTCTAGGGATGTATATTCATAGTCAGAAGGAAAAGTGACATTAAACTTGTCATTCACTTGGAGACTATTAAAAGAAATAGGATATTTTATATTTACTGCTAAGCTTTGTAAAGCTGTAATAGAAAAGTATCCTTGAAAAACAAACATAAAAATAAACAAAAAGTGGAAAAAACACAGTGTTAGCTCACATGGCCAACACAGCTGAACAAAGACTTCCAACTCTGCCTTCTACATTTAAGCTTACAGAGTAGTGAATACATTTTATTTTTCCTTTTAGAACTTATGGTAACCACACAGGAAAATTCTGACATGAAGATATGCAGTAATTTTGTAAAACATACATAGGGAAATAATTTATATTTATTTGAGTCACTTTTCCAAACGAGCAGATGCAGTGTTGAAGTAGGTTTGATGTGGCAATCCAATGCATATGTGACAATATGCCAGGGCCACCTCAGGACTATATGCAGCTCAGTGGGCAGCTGATTACTTTCAAGCTGAGCCTGCAATAGCCAAATTTTGCTTGTCTTCCTGTTACTGCAAGTAGCAGTGGATTTTCAGGAAACTTTTGCAAGTGTAGCAACCTTTCAGGCTTCTGTCCCCCTAACAAATTCAGTTCACATCATAGACTTGGATGTTACTGAGGAGGAGAAACTATGTAATGGTGAAAGAATGATGTAGCTTCATTTCTTAAGGAACAAAAATTCCCCCCAAATTGGTCAGTAGTTCTAGAATTACATTCCTTTAACATTTTCAACTTAATACTACGCTCAGCAGAACCAGCAATTTCCAATACTTTCAAAACTGCTTTAACAAATGCAGGATGTGCAATATGTGATTATCTGTTATTCAAGCACATGAAACAAAGAGCTGCTAAGATGTCCAATCACTTCCTAAAAAAACATGTAATCTTAGTGTTAAAGAGTATTTTGCAACTGAACATAGAGCCAGTTATTTTGGTTCTACTAACACTAAAACAACAAATGGAAATTGGGCTGAAATCCAAATAAAGCCAGAGCTATACCACTCTGGTTTGGAGGAAAAGGGGTGGATCAATTAGAAGTAGTTTTGCAAATCTGTACCACAAGCTTAATGATATAGTATACAAGAATGGCAGCAGAAGTGGAAAACCCACAGATCTACTTACCTTCAGAGTAAAGATTTAGCACCATATAGTGTCTTACTTGTGGCCTAGCTAAATCTGGCCACAGAAGGGCACAACAAGGTCTCCTCTATCTCCTCACCTACTGTGAGTAGCTAGAACTACTCACAAAAGGCCCTCTAGGCAAGATATATATTCCTTTTATACTGGGCTAGTCTCTGAGGGTGGGAAGCTGCATTGCTACCACACTGAATTTGTGTTACTGATAACATGGGATAAAATGTTCCTA